ACAAAGGACGAATCATGAAAGGAGGGTAAAGGAAGAATCTGTACATATCATGCTCAGATACCTACTTTCATTGCAATTTCAAAGGCGGGCAACATTGTGATACATTTAAATAGGGAAACTCTCGGAAAATAGACAATGTCGCGATTACAGATACAGTAAAGGCAACGCTGGAATTAAGTTTAGAAGTGAAGGAAATAATCAAAACTTCAGTCAGTGTCACATGAATTTCATGGAAACGCCTGGATGCAACTATTCGAGCTCCACGGATGTCCGTGTTGCATACGCATCCAAGTGAAGGCGTTTTGACTTCAGACTCTAATCGACTAAATAGCGGCGCTCACTAGGAGCGGATCAATGAAAGGAGTCATAGGGTTTCAGGACATTTTGTCAACGATTTTTTGTCCGCACACCTTTTTTGTCCAGTAGTTTACGCCCACACGTAAAATACGCAACAGTCACTTGGTCCAAGCGTTATATTTTAGTCGGTAGTATGTAAAATTATATTGACAATATGGAAATGAGAAATTGAGAGAGAAGGAGGTGTTGTTATGGTTGCTCATTTTCTAAATGAAATGTTATTACTTTCTCCTTTTGAATCATCTTTTTAAATTGTCATTGGTGAATATTTTGTTTTATTTCTATCCTTAAAATATTTAATGCACAATATACCCTTTATATGTATAGGTACTTTTTTTTATTTGTTTTATTTTTTCTTTACGAAATTATTACTTCATTTTGAAAACATTTATATTTTTAAAACGTGACAAATAATTGTAAAACCTTTTCCAAGTGACATGAATCTCAATGAGCCGCAGTTGTGCCGACAGAAACTGCAAAAATGAATAAAAGAGGGAAAAAAACCAAGAATCACGCAATCTTTAGTTTGAACCCATTTGTACATCGATCTTTTAGAGTCTAATACGTCATATTTTGAGCGTTTCGTTGCGCGCACACCTCGCTGCAGCACAATAAAAGCACAGAACGTAAAAGAAAAAATTAAAGTGCTTTGGAAATCATTGAATAACACGGAACTACCAATATTTAAAAAAACACACATTATATTATTAATCTCCTTTGGTGAATAGATCCATATTTTTATCCTATCAATTTAAATGAGAATAATCAATGCAGAGAGTGCTAACATTTCAAAATCATGAGTTAAAAAACGCTGACTATGCGAGTATTAACATTAAAGCTGAACAAATTGGCGTGCTGCCAGCGCGAGAGGCTCACTGGCGCCTACAAACCTAAGTGGATACTTCACGCATTGCACAATGCTTGAAGTATCCACTTAGGTTTGTAGGCGCGATTCGCGCTGGCCGCCCGCCCGCCTTGCGGCGGCGCTTGAAGCAACTATTTCACAACAGAGGTGTTGCACAGTATTATACGAAATTTAACGTTTTAAGAATGACAGGCATCCTTTAAAAGTACAGATCTTTCCCCGCAAAATAAATCAGGATACTTTATTGCACACAGGAAAAATCTAAGAGCCTTTAGCTGAGGCAAATATAGAGGTTTATCCGGTTCAGGTATAACAAGGTGGGAATTTCTTGAAGATAATCAAGTCCTGTTACACCAAAGAGGTGTAGAGAGTTTTAGTGAATTTTGTCTCATGGAATTAACGCTCCCCCATTTTTACCAAAACTCTCAACTATATATTATTCTCCGTTGGACCAAACAGACAAAACAAAAAAACAAGCAAACCCTCGTTGTTCCAAGGCATTATATATTTTCATCCAAAAACGTCGTGAGCAATTGTCGTTTGTATTTACATGTGGGCCAATTAACTTTGGGTCTCAACTGGCACGTGGACCAAAACTCCCGTGCCGAGAAAACGCGTGGACGTAAATTACTGGAAAAAACAGGTGCGCGGACAAAAAATCGTTGACGAAATGTCCTATAACCAGTCATAGAAAATTTAGAAAATTAAAAGTCCATGAGACGTAAAGCGTTTAAAAGTGGTTTTTTCATTTTCTCATGAAATTTCCTGCAAGAATCAGTCCATAAACTTAATAATGTGAAGAAATCAACTTCAAAATTTGCAGTTTTAGTGCAACATTTTACATCCAATCTCTCTAAAAGACTCGTTTTATGGTGCAGCGAGCTTTATTGCAAACACTTAAAATGGCAGACCGCCTTCAGTTCCTCATTTATACATGCTGAAGACATCTCTTAGACATGAATAGTTGCCTAAAAAATCATGCTCGGCACATCCCAATATCAAATATGAAGCACAAAAGATAATTACACCCATCACCGATGCAAACGGTATGTAACCATTTGTGCCGAGGAGATTTCTTTGTAGTATAAACGAATAATTGAAAGCGCTCTGCCATTTTGGATCCTTGCAGCAAGGTCCGCTGCGGACCATGCGGACTATGCCATGAGTGAAGTGGAGAGTACCGGGGCAGTCAAAACGCCTTCACACCCGTGCGTATGCAACGAGGACAGCCCCAGAGCTCGAATAGTTGCATCCAGGAGTTACAATGTGTGTTCGTCGCATTCGACACCATCTAAGGGCACTCTGCTTGTTTCGTTTACACTGTTACTTAATAACTGTTACTTAGGCGTTGCCTATTTGTACCGATGAATTGTAATTGATTATTATCGGGACATTACCAACTTTCCGAATAATACTTTGATTGCGTAAAAATATAACAACTTTGCCGTCCTAAAATGTGGGCTGTGACCTCTATCTCCTCTGATGTAAAAACGACAAATGCAGCAAAGTCGTTGCATGGTCACAGTAGGACATATTTGTATTTTTTCTCTCCCGCTGATAGTTAGAAAAAAGTCCAGTCTGAACGTTACTGATTGCTTCCGGATCATTGCAGATCGGAGCACCAGCGGACTGATTTTATAAATTTAAAAAAAAAAAAAAAAACGAATCAATAATGAAGTATTTCAAGGAAACCGGCCTGCAAAAACCAAGTAAATTTTTCTCTCGAGTTTTGTTTTTCTTTTTTTAGTTACCTATCTGTGTTTGCAAACAACCACCACAAAATATCCACTAAACCTTTGTACGGCGAGGAATCCTTCCCTGGAAAATAGGATCGGTCAAAAGTGTGAACTACTAATTATTGAAGCCACAAGTGGACATCATGAGGCCTTAAAATTATTGGGAGAGGATATAAGAAATTTTCAGACTTACACGGGAGCTGAGCCGGGAGCAGGAGGTAAATGACTGCGCAAAGCAGCAAAAAGAAACCGGAATGCAGCGCCTATACGAGAGCGAATCCTTTCTAATTTTTTAAAAAAAAATCGAGGAATTTTAAAGGCTTGAATCTGATCAATCATTCAATTGGCAAATCAGACGCGTCGCTACGTTTAGAAAAAGAAAAAAAACGTGAGAATCAGCTTAGTATATCATTGGCACAGGAAATTTCTCATTTCTTACAAATACAAAAATCGTAAATTAAAATTATACAGAAAAATAAAATACAGTAAATAGTTTATTTTTTTACAATATAAATAAGAAATTGACCTTAACTTAATTTCAGATTCAAGGCCTCCACAAAAAACACAGTTTTCCAAAATGAAATCTTTGATAGCTAACTGCAGCTTCGACAAGCAATTATTATGCCATAGGCGAATGTGCACCTTAAAAGATATGAATGTATATTATTCGTTAGACTGTTGCATACTTTATCGCATGCTCTCATGATTGCTTGAGTATCTTTGTCATTCCAATCTTCAACAAACGTTTGAAGTACATTGAACTTTTGAAATGAATCATATTTTAAATTCTTGGAAAACTAAAACATTAAAAAGTAAGTATCATATGCTGAGGTAAATCTGTCACGCATACACCCATACCTCATTCAACTGTCTTCGTCTTTGAGAAAAATGTTTACGTACTTATTTTTTTCTTAATTTTCTCTATGTAATATCACAAGTGCCCCGATTAAGATGAGTGTATTAATTGACGAACAAAAAATTGGCAAGCAAAGTTAATTTCGTTCAAAACAGCTGCATCCTGACCTAGAAATTACTTCATAACCTATGAACAAAACCGTTGAGTGGCATGTCGCCATCAGATGGAATTACATTATTAGCCCTATTTCATAAAATTTATTAAACTTTCTAAGTTTACTTTTGTCTATCGTTGACACAGGTCTCGGAGGCAGAGAGTAAGGTGTTTTTGAGGGTTATTTGGTGGAAATTTTGACTCACGCGAGGAACATATTACTTCCTTATCAAAGGAAATATATACCTTTTTCTAATTCATTGACAAATTGGACTGAGTTAAGCAGAAAGGAACCAATCCACATTTTGGAAAAAATTGAGTTATGAGTGGTTTTGAACTCAACCACTGCCCCACTATCTATCGCCAAAAATTCAAGGTTTTTGTTGGAGCAAATTTTGCAGAAATTGAACTTGAAGTTTATCTTTTACATTGAGTCTTATGCAGGAGCCAAAATTTAAACCTCTTTTTCTCGGTTCGATCCCGATGTGGCTTGGTTCCTTTCTGTTTAACTCCGTCCAATTGCAGTGCAGATGCGCCATTCAACCTTCTAGCGCCTTACACGTGGTCTAGACAGATACTCTGTGTCAGATGTCAGCGCGTTGAAAGCTTTGAGACTGCAGATTTCCAACCATAGGTAATGTACTTCCGTGTTGAGATGAAACCCCTTCAAAGGCGTGTTTCTGCAACTTAACGTACACAATGCAGAACGTTCTTTTACATTTAAACAGAGCTAACGATCCTTATGTTCTAATTTTCTTTGCTCTTTCTTCCGGAGATCTGCATAGATATTTGCCCATGAACTTTGCTTCCCATACAATTTTAGATTAGGAATCTTCCATGGAGGAGCCTAGGTATAATGAGCTCACAACCTGTGAATAAATGGTCATGATACCGATACCGCATCACATTTACCTTTTCAAAATCAGCTTGTGCCATCTTATAAGAGTTACCCGCGAACTATGCTAGTTCATAATACTCTTTTATACGGTGGCACAAGCCAAAGCTATATGGTTAAAAAAATTAACCCTCTAGCTGAAGTATCGACTTATTCCACATTTTAGATTTATTTAGGTAACAGAAGTTGAGTGCGATTACTTATAATTTGCGAGTGTTCTCTGACCAAATCTCTGCTACTTTTTGTACCCGTACAGATATCCGAATCTGTTGTTGTCGCTTTTCATTATATTTTATTTTTATTTATTTTGGTGATTACTGTTTGACCATACAAACTTGTTTACTGCAGTTAAAAATTCAAAACGGTAAGCACAATCATTGTACAGGAAACAAGTGAGGATGAAAAAGAAAGTGAATATGGTGCGGACGATATACTCCCCGAATCCGTCAAAACCACTCCCGCTTTGGGCCGTAACCTTGAGCAGAACGTATTTCGACTAAACACCACATTAAAATCATCCCTGAAACAATAGAACATGGGGGTGTAAGTCATCCATTGTATACTATGGAGTTAAAAGTAATACAAAAAAATAATAAGAAAATAAAACAAAAAAACTCTAGCTCTGCCATAATACGCACTTAATTTTTCAACTTCTCTAAATAAGCTATGAACATAATAGCAGCAGTTTGCCGTTTTTATGTTACTTAAAGCACTACATGTCATGCTGTCCGAATCACAATCATTTTACAAGTGTTTAATATCTTATCTGTATTCATAAACAAAGATGAAAAAAAAAACCTGTCCAAAATCTGACACCTTCTCAAGGAAATATTGATTTATTATACTGTCAACTGAAACATTTGCTTATACTCATTTTGAAATTATAAGAGAACTTTTCCTTAAAAATCTCTAGGTTTCGTTTCTCATACGTGCTACTCCTCTTGGACACGTGTATAAAATATTCGCTCTGCGTGGGGGGTGGGGGGGGGGCTTTATCATATAGTAACTTGTATGTTCATTTGAGCATCGCGATCGGCCAATAGTGTAGGAGGCTCATGAATTGACGCATGAAGATCTTAGACACTTGGATATACAGCACATGGATTGGCAATTGTAGAGCAGGGATGAAAAATCCCAAGCTTCCCTCCTAATGAATTAATTTTTTTTTGCAGCATATTTTATTTGTTAGAGCCCTCATTTACTTTGTCAACTTTTGCTATCTTAAATCGCACCTGAGTTTTTACCCAATTGTTTCTCCAAATATGTTTGCGACAAGTTTGTTCATTCTTCCCGTCGGTCCTGTTTTAAACATTTTCACCACTGCTTCACATAAGATAGACCAAAATCCAGTTTGCTTCTTGCCTGAAAATCAAGACCATTGAAATAACAACTTTTACCCTTTAAATACTCGTAGTATAGAGCTATTCGATTTTGGTTACTTACCCGATTCTGTACCCGGAGTTGACGCTAGCAGTATGTACTTTCATGACGTCGGGCAAGTAGTCTGAGCAGATTTTGGCACAGACCGATTCAGTCTCAGATCCCATGTTGACAACTACCAAAACTAGAGGATGTCCCTCTAATTTCCTGTTGCACAGAGAGAGAAAATTAGCGGGTGATTGACAATGTACCGGCAAACAACATAAGTACGAATTCTAATATTGCGTTTGATGTCATTCCTGCATTTTTACATGAAAAGCGATTCATGCGAAGATAGAAAATCGACTCATAAAGAAAATGAAGACACGTTAACTTCACGCATTGGTTGAATAGAGTGCAAATCATACATATAAAGTAATTTATATTTTTGTCATAAATCTAGTGTTAATGATCAATACGTAAATCTTCCCACGGGTTTGATTTCCAAAATGTGTCAATCATTTTGTGCGTAAAGTTTTGTAGAGATGCATGAGCACAGTGCTATACACTTCGCATCTGTAGCAAAGTAACAGGATTGTATTGGAAAAGAATCAAATGATTAGGTATGAAGCGCAACACAGTCACTGTGTATCTCGGATCACAGATCAGATAGAACGTCGACATTGAAGCCTGAATGCGACTATTCCAGCTTCCAGATAATGCGTGTTGTATACATGCGTACACGAAGGCATCCTCTCCAGCTTCTCACAATCAGTGCCTCGAGTTCCCAATGCGGCCGAGGCTCCCTTATTTCGTCTGAGAACTTTGAGAGGAATTTTTCACGTAATTATACCTTATTACTACAAACCTAAACATACACATTTATTATTCCAGAGATAAAGGTAAAAAATCTGCAGCGATTCTTTACGATTTAATAAACATGAGTATGAAAAACTTAAAAACTCACGTAACTTTACTATAGGCATTTAAGGTAATGCCCATCCCTTAGTAGTACGAGATAATAGAGGCATTTGTAATTGTTACTATGCCAAACTAAATTATACAAAAATGACCGATGAATTCGTCACTTACGGGCCGAAATCGGTGCTTTTCATGAGGTTCCGGGTCTAAGAAAATGAGCAACATTTTATTTTCTTCGGAAAATATGTTGGAACAATCGTAAAATTACTTTGAACTACTAAGCATGAGCATCTTCCGAGAGGCCGTCTAACACAGTTACGTGAATCTTTTGGTTTTTATACTCATTTTTATTGAATTGTAAGGAATAGCCTCACAAATTTAGACTTGTGATTATTTCTACCCAGCTAATAGTGAATATATGTGACTTACGTACCTGACATACATGAAGACCCATTTGCTGAGAGGGCAAGTATCGAGATCGCCATCTTTGATAACCGGGGATTTCCTTAACTCCATGAGCCGTTTGAATATCTTTAAGTGACTTTCCGACTCTTTCAACTGAGCCGCCACATTTTTGTACACATAATCGGGATGCAGAGGCAACCACGGTCTGCTATTTATCGTGAAACCTGTAAAAACGACAAAGTTCTGAATGTTTCATCATGTTGCATCGATCAAAAGACTTTTAACAGGTCTTTTACAGATCCAGGTCCATAGTTTCTTTGGTAACATCCAATTTAAAGGTCCAGTAGTCAGAAATCAAAGTCACCTACGTAGGACCTGCCGGAGGGGGAGGGGTGCATAGGACGCGTTTACCTACTCGTGTTGGATACATTTTTTGCGAAAGCCCTGTCAACACTACTAGCAAAATTTCACGGAACTTGACGCAAAAGTTAAGTTCCATAAACCTATCTCTGTGTGGACAAGGTCCTCTATTTATAAGAAATGAACCAAAAAATTAAGAAAGAACAAACATAAATGTGGTTTAATAATTTTAACTTCCGCCGCTTCGCCGCGCTGATAGCACTGTGTTTGGTGCAATGCGTGAAGTATTCCTGCAGTCTTGTAGGCGCTATGTATGGCTGTAGGCTGTAAGATGCTGTCTTTTGTATCACCGAAAAACGACAAAATTAGAAATTACTATACTTTCAGGAAAGAGAGATTTTGTCCCCTTATCTCATTGATAATTTTTTTTTATCTGAATCCGATTGTTTTTATACCTATATTTAAAAAAATTGCAAAATTTGCCGCCATGGGCCGCGGCCCATGTGGCCACCCCCTTAATCCGGTCCTAATGTGTTGGCCCCTGAGGGAAAAATTGTGTCATAACTTGAGGCTACTACCTAATTCCAAAGTGTACAATGTCCATTTTGGTCGAAATTGAGCTACGAGTGAATTCTTGGTCAGTAATTAGAGGAGCATCAGGAAATAATTTAATTGTGTGCCAAAACAGCCAACATCCTTTTTAATTAGCAGTATATTAAAAAGGTAGGTTGCAGCAAAATGTACAATACTCAAACCAGTTTTTGACGTTTTTGGGACAATTCACTTGTATGGACATTGCACACTTTGGAACTAGTAGCCTCATATACTTGCCAGAGTTAGTGGAGTCGTCCCATTGCATGGGTGCCCTGTAGGCGTCTCTAAGGTCGGTGCGGCCCCCGCCGCCGTTGTTGGGGTCTTGGCGCTGATCCCAGCGGACAGGGGCATCCTCCATGCCGAGCTCGTCGCCGTAGTACACGCTCGCCACCCCCGGGAGCAGCAGACACACCATGTTCATCCCATCCACGAACATGCGCCCCAGCCTCGAGGCCACCCGCGAGTTGTCGTGGTTGCTCATCTGTCCCCACAAAATAAAAAAAAAAATCATATTATTTCAGCAACAATAACTGGATTACATTTTGCAAAAAGGAACCAGAAGCATTGCAATGATGCTAAGATTGTGCAACTTCATTCTTTGCAATAAAATCACCGAAATCATGAAAAAATATGAAATTTACGCACTGGAAAAAAAAAACACATTGAATCTAGAGTCCAGACTCTTAAAAACATCAACAAGAAAAAATACTATTGATTCAATCAGCTTTAAGCTTAAATCAAGAACCAAGCCTCTTAATTTGAGCGGATTTCCTTTTGATTTTAGCCTAAATCTGATTAAATCAAGAGTCCTTTTTCTTGTCAACCTTTTCAAGAGTCTGAACGCTAGATCCAATTTGTTTTCTTTTTTTCAGTGCATGGTACTTTTTATCTTAAATTTACAGTTTTTACGAGTGCAATAGAAACACTGTTAATGGATTTCAGGTTTTTTTTTTTTTCGAGACAAAAAAAGTTGCATAATCTTAGCAACGTTGCAATGCTCTCGGTTCCTTTTTGCCAAATGCAATCCAACTGTGCCCAGCGTTCGTGAAATTCAACGTTAAATATCTCTAAAATATAACAATCATACGTGATACGGACGCAGTTATGCTAAAGGGAACTTAAGACGTGTGAGAAAGATGGGGTGTGCTCGTCTGAGCTGCAGAGGAAACAATGTAAAAGTGGGAGTGATTCCGAATGGCAAAATGGAAAAAGTGGGATATGACACTAAATCAAAAGGAACTAGGAGCTAACATACACTCATGAGCCGTATATGACAAGAGCCTTATGGACAGGGCTAGTGAATTGGAGAGCGTTCCCGCCCTTGTGTTTATCCCTGTCGTCGATGCTGACGACATTGGCGCTTCTTAATTGAATCAGTGAGTTCGAAAACACATCAACTCGGAAAAAAAAATTGTTCAGGAAACACCTTAATCTGCGCAGCGGGGAAGAAGTTAGTTTAAGAAAAACGTTTTTGGTGCCAAAGGACAAGTACTCAGAGACTTTGTAAAGTTCAAGTTGAAATCGATACACCATGTTTGATGACAGAGAATAAAGCGTTTAAGAATTTCCGAGTTGGTGTGTTTTCGTTCTCACCGACTTTTAGATACTGATTTTTCATAGTCTGCCCAGAAAAATTTATATTTTTCGACCTGAATAACGCTTGAATATCTATATCACTTGTTGGTACAAGGTATACTGAACCGAAAAAAGAAAACCGCAAAGTCAGATTTTCACCCGTTTCCCTTGAAATGGCTAAAAATTGGTATTTCCAATTTCCAATGAAATACTTCGATTTTTCCCTTTTCCCGTCGCTGTTTCGAGCACTTCCGATTGCAATTTAGAAATTTCCTTTTGCACGCAGATGCGTCTAATCGTCTATCCATAAGTGTTACTAAACCGGAAAAAAGCGAAAATCGAAAAAAACCCGAGTTGGTGTGTTTTCGAACTCACTGATTCAATTCCCATTCATTCTTACGGCCCTCAACTAATAAGTGCTCTCCTTTTTTCCTATCCGTCTCTCGTTCCTTTCAGCATAAATACGTCCATATAATATCTATATACAAGACTGTTAGTTGCGATGATTCAAAATGTCCGCTCCTATTTCATTTTATAAAAGAGAAACCCTATAGCTTGAAATTGAAACAGGCTATATATTCTGCTGGTAGAGAAGGAAAATCAAGGAAGTTTTCAAGAAATTGCGTTTACTAGATTTCCACCCACACTTACCACCCAATTGGCAACACCATGTGGAGGCATACTATCGGTAAAAGCATGCACAAGTTCATTCATCTTTACAGCAGAGGTTTGATAGTTGATGCCGACAAGGCCAAAGTAAAATGGAAAGTGGACACTTCTATGAGTATCATTACCGAAGTACTTCATCAAGTGTCCCATGTCAGTGTACGCCTCTGAGCACATAATTCTGGAAAAAAAAAATTCAAGTGTCATCACAGATCAGTGGTAAAATTAACAAGACATCCACTTAAACTAGAAAGTATTTATCAAAAGGAAAATTTTTGCACGTTATGTTATAAATTGTTCAAATACTGAGTTAAAGATGTTCTCTCCAGTGAAATGCACCGCGTCAATATGACTGGAGGACAATATAAGAGCCCCAGATAAGAGGATTTTTTAGAGTGGGGCAATGATTGGGGCCATTATACGGTGAGGGCGTTTGAGCTAATTGAAAAAAAACTTAACCCTCTCAAAGTCTCACACTAAAATTGGTTACGGCTGATTTTTCAGTAACAATGAATTATTTAATGTGAAAAGTATATTTACCCTTTGTGTCGCATACAACTGGCCCGTGCATTTCTCAGACGTAGCCTAATCGTCAACTATTAACACTTATATTAGGGGATGAAACGCAGTGAGGTACAAATTGCTCCTGAATATTATAGTGGATGCAGCATGCACTAAAGAATATACATCCGTAAGATTTCATCGGAATGTTGAAATACTTTTACACAATACAGGGTGTCCCAGACCACCCGTAATAGGCAATTGAATGTTTGCTAGATTCCCTCTAAATAATAGAATTTGTTTGACAATGGAGGACACCGAGATCAGTAAATCCATACATATCGACGGTGAAAGTCGGCAATCACAACTCGGTTTGCGACGTCGCAGACTTCCTGTCATACTTTATTTTTTAAATGAAAAACTACTCAACGGCAATTCTTTAAAACTGTCATGATTTTTCTTCTCAATGCGAAGAAAATTCTGCAAAAACTTCAAGAAATAATATCAATTTGTTCTCCTTTAAAAATATGACGTAGAGGGGGAGATTTTCAGACACCGCAAACGAGTTATGTGATTGCCGACTTTCACCGTCAATATATTCCTCTAACTTGTCCATAATCTACATTAACTAAACAAAGCGCATGAACATGTTGTCTATAAAGGACTCACTTTTTTTTCTGTTTTCTTAAGGGGAAATATATGAGCGTAACATGTTCAAGACACTGTCAATCTCGTGTGTGCTCATATGGTATCCACTATCTGAACGCATGAAAATGTTTGTCTTTCCAGGAAAATTATTCATGAAAAATATCATCGAATGCCTGCGAATAATCTTGAGTGGGTGAACAATTTTCTCCAATAAAATGTAGAAAATTCACAATAATCTAAACACGCTCCTTCATTTCTGTTGAAGAGAAATGAAGCTTGAGCGAAAAAACTGATAAAATTCCTTCGAGACACGTGTTCATTTATTGAGTCCCATCAATACTTCTCATACATTTCGGGATTCTTAATACAGATCTCAGTGAAAATTACGGTCAGTTGGCATGAAACAATTTTTTTAAAAAAAAAAAAATTAGAATCAGAGTGAGTCGCGAAAATCTTATCTCCTAGTTTTTTTTAAAAAAAATTGGACCAAGTACACGTGATTCTAAAATCGATGGTAAATCTACCAGACCACGTATCTCGTTTGTGGTGTTTAAAAATCTCCGCTTCAAAAATTACAGATGGGGCATTATAGGGGTCTCAAGCGGGCGCGAGGAAGGGGGGGGGGGGGCTGGCACTGTAAGCGGATATCGAACCGAAACCTATGAAAACGACGAAATTTTTTTGTACAAAAGACAAAGTTTACTTTTATTTACCTAACACAGGGGGATGGGTATCAAACAAAGTAAGACATTTGTTGAACCGAGTTTAACAAAAACGCTCCAAGTCATATTTTGGGAAAAAATGAGTTGAGAGTTGTTAAAATTCAGCTAGTCGTAAATTTTCTTCCATCAAAAATTCCAAGTCGAATTTAAGAAAAATATTTCGAATTTGAAAATAGGCATTACACTTCGTCCTTAACATTCAATCTAATGGAGAGGTACAACTTCAAACCTCTTTAATTTGGTCAAATTTGATGCGACTTGGTACGTTTTCGTCAAACTATGTCCAATTTTCAGAGGTATACGTGACGCGTTCATGAAGGGGGAGCGGAGATTGTACATTCAGAATGTCTTTTTCATTTTCATTTCCTTTTTTTTCTCTCTTTAATTTTTCCATTTTTAAAGTAATTTATGAGAGATCTAGTCGAAACTTTCATTAACTTTTATGACTCAAATGCGATTGGCTCTTACATAGTTTTGTTTTTATTGGAAGAATACTCATCGAGGAAAACACGCCATTCGTGGGTGATTTCGTATGTTTCCGGTTGGTTGATTGTGTAAATGTGGTTCATCTTGCTGTACTCATCTTCCCCGTAAGGACTCGGGTAAGGGTATGGATAAGGGTAGGAATACTCGCCGAGCGAGTGACTCTGCTTGCTGAGCGAATAGAAAGGCTCGTCCTCCAAGTGAGCTGCCTCAACGAGGAACATCACCGCATCGATACGGAATCCATCCACGCCCAGATCCAACCAAAATCGCATAACTTCCTAAACAAAGAGCCACACTTGAGCACAAAATAATACATATAATATTGAAGAAACATTTAGAGCTGCTTTGATACAGCTAAAGGAATCATTCCTTGAAATCATACTTGACCTTCTTTGGGAAAAGGAGCCTTTGGGACTTGGAGCGCCCACAAAACCCCACAGTGAAGTAGAAGTTATAGATACAAAAGCACGAATGAGGGTTCTAAATATATAATGGGATAGACCACTCTAAAATATCAGGCTAGACCTGAATAATGGCGTTCTGAAATTCGCAGTTGGGGAAATGTAGTTCAGAGAAAACAATTTTTTCTCGAAAAAAAGGAAAGGGATATTAAGGTCCCTATCCGTTTTCTTTGACGTTTAAACTTTTGGCAAAATTGTTCAAAATGTTGATTTTTTAAAAACTTTCATTTCCATTTTAGCTTAAAAATAAGAACAAAATTACAGCTAAATTTTGGAATGAATAATAAGGCGAATGGACAGACCATGATGAGAGCGCTCACTCTAATTTGAATGTTTTAACTTAATGAAGAGTATTGGCGCTCATAACTTTTTAATCAAAAATATTTCTCATCTTAACAGACGAAAATAATTATTAATGCTTTTTCAAGCACCCTTTATCTATTACCATTATTGCCTCTTGACCTCCTAGGGACCTCGATTAAATACAACAACTGCCAAATAACGGTGAAAAATAACAACTTCAATATCTCTAAATTTTTAGTAATTACTAAATGTCAGTGCGGAATATTCACCCCTAAAATTTCTGCAGCAAACTGCACTATCATATGGTAGTTCGAGTTTTCGTTTTCCTATACACCACGTAATTATTAATTTTGAAAATAACTTGCCTTAAAGGCCTCCCTGACATTCGGATTCCGGAAGTTCAAATCTGGTTGCCGAGCAGAAAATTGGCGTAAATAAAATTGCTGTCTTTCTGCATTCCATTGCCAAGCTGAACCACCAAAAACGCTTCTCTGGAGAAAAAAAAGGAGACGTATAGTTTTGTGATATCACTAAATCGTCTTAATATATAGTGTGCAGTTCATTCATGTTTTGAAAGTATTTTTTTTAAAAAATAATCTCAATTTCTTAGAAAATAAGCAAAGTTTCTAGATAAAGAGAACTTCTTCCTTGTTAGACATTGAAAAATTGTAATTTTTTATAGCTTTTTTTTTAAAGTTTTTCAACTTCTGGCCCCTAAAATATTATACTTCGGATGGAGGAGGGGGCACCGGGTGCCTTGAATGGCTAGAATCAATCCCATCCTAGATTCTCGTCATTCCGTAGCGTGCTTTAACTGTTGAGGGTATACATTAAACGAAAATAAGTAGATTCAACCCGTCATCAAATCCTTCCTGCAAAATTTAGTGCCGTAAACATAGGTCTGAAAGCCAACAATGGCCGTTTTTCATAGATTTTCCGAACTTAATACTGTTTTTTAACCAGTGTGCAATGTTGTATCAGGACGATTTTTGCGTTAATCTCTCTCTTCCTCTCAAACTTTCAACCCGAATTTAGTGTGGGCTCTATCGAGAAATGACATTATATACTGGGGAAAAAACAATGAAAAATGCTCAACTTTCAGAGCATGTGGCTCTCCAGGCATGTTTACGGCAATAGATTTCAGCGAGGGGTCTCAATTGCTGGTGAAAAAAAAAAAAAAAAAAAAAAAAAAAAAAAAAAAAAAATTTGTTGAATGGATATAACTTCTTGATTTTAGCTCTTAAGAAAGTCGTGCCACTAAAAAATTGCCCGTCAACGGAAACAAACACCAGAAAACGGCTAAACATTGCTACAACAAACGTCAAAATGTCTGAGATGTTTCAGAATGGGACCAACCCCATTGGCAACCAGAAAACAAAGAAGTAAAGCTAAACAATTTTTTAAAAAAACTAACACATTTTTTATTACCTATTTTGTTATTTTATTTTTACTTATTTGTTTCCCGGTGGACAAGGGATTGATTCTACTCCGAAACATACCAGGCATTATTATTTTTGTTTTAGCTTTGTTTACCCATTTTCCTGTATCTGTTTTTAGTCATCAACACTCTCCATACTTTTTAATCATTCAAAACGCAAACTTACCCAATTATTTGGTGGTATAGGTTTTCCATCGTCATCTGTGTCATTCATGTTTTGCCAGACAAAAAAGTCGGTGTACGGCTCCTCTCTCTCTATAGATTTTTTAAACCATTCACTCTTGTCACTGACGTGGTTTGGAACCATATCCAGCAAAAGTTTCATCTCTAAAATAAATAGAATACGCTTAGGGATTTTTTTTTACATACTCAAAAAAAGGGTAGTTTTTGATCGCATAAGTGTTTATTTTTCCTACTTTATCCGCTCAAGGAGTTCCAATACAGTGATTTTATCAAGAACCTTGACACAATAAAATGCACGTCAAGTTTCTTTATACTATTCCTGAATATAATCGTGCTGTCTATCATTAATTGTCATTGAAATTATACAGGTAAGAAAATATGCTCATATTGAGCACTCGTAAAATTCAATTTCTATTAGATTATAATTATTTATAATGAGTTTACTATTGTTTTACAACTGATCCAGTAGTTCATTACATATACATCCACACTCATGTAATCTGCGCACGTCACCTTGCGTCATCCTCTCTCATGAAACATACGTAAAATATCTCCTCCGTAAGTACCTCTGCTGTGGATTCCTTTCAAGAGCCGTTTGAAGTGCTCCATAGTTCCAAAAATTGGATCAATTTCCCGAAAATCAGAAACGTCGTAGCCCAAGTCTGCCATCGGTGATCGGTAAAATGGCTGGATCCATATCGTCTCGACCCCCATGTCTTTGATGTAATCAAGCTTTTCGTAGATTCCTGTGATCATAAAATCACTAATAAATTAAAATTTAAACCTACATTAGATATTTTTTTGTTAAAAGGCATGGAGCTAAAAGTACTTTTTAATTTTAAAAAAATTGAAAAAGGTTTGAGACTTCTTAGCTGAATCAGCTTAGGGGTAGCGAAATCCAAAGCGGCATCAAAACGCCGTCATGAAAATTACGTGAATATTATTTTCATCTCATATTTAATTAGGTCAAACCTATTCTTTCTTTCATACTTATTTCAGAAGAGCGCCTACTTCATTTGTCACTATGGCGCGGATGTTGTAAAATATTTGCTTCAAAGATAGCTGATGGCCTCATTCGGGGCATCAATGAAAATTTTCCGACCGTTCATTTGAAGTATTGGGATTTTCCATTGCATCAGTGAGATCTTGACGGTTCAAACCATTCAATAAAAGCAATCTTTCTCCAACTTTTTTCGTCGTATACCTAATCACGGTCCACAGGACAAGGAGTCTTAAAACCAAACAATTCAAAATTGGGACATGGCTGTGCTGCTACGGAGAACAGTGTTCTGCGAATAAATTAAATCAGGAGACATCTCATAATTTCAGAAGCCGAAAAAAATTTAAAATAGTTTTGAGATTGCAGTTCAGAATTGCAGTTATGAGGGAATTTTTTTTTTTTTTTTTTATTTTTTCCCCTCCAATGTTCGAAACCCAAACAAGTCGGATTCAAATTTTATTTACAACCTCTAGTGGCAGATAAACAAATTCAGTTAAGTGCTCGACCCTATTCTCTGAAATGCTATAGAGAATTTTCTGTCAAAAATTAAAATTCCTATTTTCCAAGCCCCTCGTCCTCTTGAGTTTATGTCCGTGGATCCAACCCTCCTTTTAAAAACTATCACATCTAAAGGGCCTCAGCGTGTACTTGTTCTCCTTCTTCTGTTATTCGAGATAATTACATGGCACGTGTTTGGTAATCATCCCTCCTTGATAAGAATGAATAATGGAATAATAATTAAATAAAAATACTTGCCATTTATATCCCCAACTCCGTCTCCATTTGAGTCCTTGAACGACCTCGGATAAATCTGGTAAATTGTCGTAGTTTTCCACCAATCCTTTTCACTTCTTTGTGCGTGGATTTGTGTCTCAAAGATGAGCGCAGATAGGAGGGATAAAATTACAGAGAAAGTTTGTCTAATTTCCATCGAGATATGTCTATTTTTAACAAAAAAACTATAACACTCAGAGAAAACTTCACGGTAGAACTGAAACAGAAAGATTAAAAGATAAAAATCCTTTCCTACCCTGGTAAAAATTGGCAGTAGAATCTGTGTTCCAAAATACCATAGACCCAAGGCCGGCTGTAAGATTTCCAATAGCTTCTATAGCCGGCTGCACAATTTCTTATAGCCTTTTATAGCCGATGGCGATTAAGCAACAACCGGGCGATAAATTGTATGCTAAACGTTACTAATTACTAGGACTTACTAGGATGCTAGGACTTCGTGAGTTTTTGGACTACCGCTCTCTTTTTGGGCCGTAGTATCTTGATTTATTATGCGAGGAAAGCTCCGTACTTTTGACGGATGTCTGTCATTCCTAATATGTTAGCGCGCCTTCAATTTCGTACGATACTGCGCAATACCTCTGGTGTAAAATAGTTGCTTCAAGCGCCGTGGTAGTGTGGTACGCTGCGGCACGGCGGGCGGGCGGCCAACGCCTACAAACCTAAGTGGATACTTCAAGCATTGCGCAATGCGTGGAGTATCCCCTTAGGTTTGTAAGGGCCTGTGCACGTTACGCGCTGGCAACACGCCGCTTCTGCTTTATTCTAATATTTAAACTCGCGGAGTCAGCATTTTTCAGCTCATGATTTTGAAATGTTTGCGCACCGTGCATTGATTATTCTCATTTAATTTGAAGAAAAAAAAAACATGTAATAAAGGAAAACATAATGTGTTTTGTAACTATTAAGGTGGTTCCGTGTCTCTAATGATTCCCAAAGCACTTAAATATTTTCTTTTATATTTTGTGCTGTTACTGTGCTGCAACATGGTGTATGCGCGAGCAAATGCTCAAAATTGGACAAACTTAACTCTAAAAGATCGATGTACAAATGGGCTAAAAGCAAAGATTGCGTGTTCCTTGGTTTATTTCCCTCTTTTGGCGCGGCGGGCGGGCGGCCAGCGCGAAACGCGCATTGGCGCCTACAAACCTAACAGGGATACTTCACGCGTTGCGCAATGCGTGAAGTATCCCTGTTAGGTTTGTAGGCGCCAGTGCGTCGCCGCTCCGCTTTGTGTTAGGCTCTAATATTTAATCTGGCGGAGTCAGCGTTTTTCAACTCATGATTTTGAAATGTTTGCACGCTCTGTATGGATTATTCTCATTTTTAATTGATTAAAAAAAATATGTACTAAAGGAAAATATATTGTGTGTTTTGTAAATATTAAGGTGGTCCCGTATCAAACTTAATGATTTCCAAAGCACACGAATTTCTACACAATTTCTTATAGCCTTTCATAGCAGATGGCGATAAGGTGTATAATCCGGCGATAGGAACTATGGCCCGCCTTCATAATTTTTTAACGCTTCGTATAGCCCAGCTCTATGATTTTCTCCGCTTTCTACAGCCAGCTATATGATTTTCTATCGCCTCCTTTGGCCGGCTATAAGCTCCTATCGCCAATTTTTACCAGGGTAAATAATCGAGAATGGAAAGATTGTCACTATATCAAACTAGTTCAACTATTACTAGATCAAACCATAGTTCACTCAAGAAGATGAAGAGTAAAATTGCCCAAGAAAAAAACTATTTTGTCTTAATCTTAAGTTTGGTTTATTTTAAAGCTGCTGTTAGGGTCCAGCAAAGTCGCCACGCGAGTCATTGCAGTCAGCTAAAAGGCACCACTGGCTGGATATACTTTTAAATCTTCATCAAATCACTTTGATCAATGAATCCCCATCTTATCTTAAGTTATTGACACACGAAAAACACTCTCCTCGGTTTTGTCACTAATTTACAATCTATAGCAAGTTTAGCACTTGTCATGAAATCACTGCAGGTCAACGCGTTTGACCTGTGATCTCTTTTCTATTATTAAATGGTGGATCGGAAAAGGCACTTGCCGTTTTATTTTTGACAATCTTGAGCGATGGATGCACCCATATGTTATCACTTGAATCTGAGATCGCAGCCGTTGGCACGCAGGCAATGCTTTTTGCCGCGACGTCAGTTGCAGGCGCGCCGCGTCCAAGAAACGTTTTCTTTTCGAGGAAACTCCCGGTGCACACTTGAGATGGATTTCCTATGAAAAGTGGTCAACTGCACGTACTGTATCTTTAGTCGCTTATCGGGAGGAAAATTTCCATTACATGTCACTTAAAATTAACTGTATGCAGTGCGACGAGACAAGTGCAACGCTTATACAGGGTGGTCTGCGAAATAAAGAAACAGAATGTTTCATTTTTACTATAGATTTTTTATTAACCGCTAACCCGAAGATGGAACTCTCATAATATGTATTTACATACCACTTCAAGATCATACGTAACCCGATGAGACAAACAAGGAATCTCACTTGCAAAACCATTGAAGAAGTTCAAGTCTTTTTTAATCAGCAGTCGTTTACACACTGATTCAAATTGCCTTTCGTATTGGAAAGGTCTTTGTCAAAACGGATAGTGTATAGGAGAGTGACATGAAAAATATGCGATCCAAGCCACCTCTTAGAAAATCAGAAATATTTTTGTAACATTTTTCTTAAAATATTAGCCACAGCATCTGATTAATGTTCTCAAAATATTTATAAAATGCTAACTTGTTCTCTCTTGGAGGGCCGCTGGGGGAATCAGTTCAAAATAATTTCAAGTTTGTTTTTCACATTCTTTTGTGGGCCTTAACGAAATGTTCTACAAGGATAATTTTCATAAAAGTTTTAAAAAAAACTCTTCAAGTGATACTACACAGAGACATCTACAGGGCGTCAATAAGACTTTTTTCCGAGGCGAAGGAGGAGGGGGTTGTCCTGAAAGTGCAGAAGGTGTACCACCGCGCCAGTACCCTGATGGAGCTTTCTGCCCTTGATAAGCATTTTCATAATATTTTACTCCCCTCACGGAAAAAATTACCCTCGGTCAGAGCACTAGAATGGCATCTCCTAAATTTTGGGTGATTTTGGGTAGGCCAAACCTTTGTAGAACTCGGCACTAACCAAGGCAGGGCTGCGTCCACCCTAAGTTAAAATGATGCCGCTTGACCACTTCCCTAAGCATGAGCATTAAACTGTTACTTCTGTGCACGGAAACTTGGAACAGTTTTTCCCAAAAACTAAGTACTTACATACCTGTTTAACTGCAAACTTCCAACCGGCCTGTACTTCGATAAGATCCTAACTGACCTTAGTTCTTTATTGATATACGTGCCAATTTCCTTGTTTGTATTTCCTCCTCCCTGATTTGTATTAATTTTCCTCTTGATAAAGTCGTGTATCCTACGTTCTCTTTTACGCAAATTGAACGAACACAGGTATTAACGTAAATAGACGGAGTCAAGTATAGAAACATGAGGATGTGGAATTCCAGCCCCTGTTCGGCTACGATTCTTCAGGTGCTTTTTGTGCCAAAATATTTTTCAAAGCTCTGGTATAAATTTCTCCAATTGAGTTTTTTTGGTGCCAAGGTCCCTTTTTTGTGTGGGCGGTCACAACCTTTGCTAAAAGATTTTAGAATATTTTGATATAATCAGATACAAATCATGAAAACAAATTCCAAAAGGCAAAGAAAGCGTTTGGTCTAAATCAAATATAATGAGAGCAGGTTTGCAACTAATAGCCAAGAAAATCAAGATACATCTTTTTTTTTCGTCCTCTCCCTTTTTTTCAGTTTTACCATCATAACGCACCTTAACTTTTTGTGTTCTCCAGAAGAAAAATTGGTCCCTTTCTTCCCTGCGTGGATAAAAAAAATAAATAAAAAATGAAAAAAAAATATTAAAACACTTTTCACTTGCATGCAGGTGTACTTTTAAAATATCACTGGAGGTGGACGTTCTTACCAATAAAACGTTTGTTGCTATAAAAAGTACTTCATAGACGAGCGCAGCCAAACTAGCCACGATGCGAACACAGTGAAGATAAGCGCGCTGTCTCTAGATGAAAGAATAATCATGTATAAATATACTCAAAGTTGCACTTATTTCATTACGTATTCAAGTGTGAACGGAAATGTGTACTCTCAAACATCATCACCTCATCAGTGACATCATAAATATATTTTATTCGTTCAGTGCAGTACCGTACCGTACCTTAATCTTATCATCCAACGGTAGTCCTTTAATGGTAAGATGTATATGTAGATCCTATCTAAATCAATGTAAGTTAAGCTCAACTTCTGGTGCATTTTTCTCAGCAACTACAAGCCTGAAACTTTGCAGGCATACAGATATGCCTGTTGGCTACAACTGGAACTAAGCTTATGAAGATTTTTCAGGTTTGAAAAGATTTAATCCGTACCGACTGGCTTATAAACGACATGATGGAAAATGATATCCTTTTGCTCCGTAATAATAGAAAACTGTGGCATTGTAATTGTAAACCCGTTCTGAAATGGCAAGCGCAGTCGAAACACCTTAGAAAAGTATATTTTTTCACTTTTAAGGAACTTTAACGCCATATCCATTTTAGTTCGCCTTCAATTTTTTGTGTAGGCAACATGAGCTTCCTCGTGGTTGAATAGTGGTTTACTCACCCGGGAGATTGGAAACACGTAAATAAGAGCTTTTTACCATACGGGAAGAGGTTATTTTAACACCATATCAGTTCACCTTCAACTTTTAGTGTAGGCAACACTATCGCGCACCTTGTCGAGTGATGGTATCATTCCCCATAAACATCAGACGGTCTCCGTCGGCGAATGAGTAGCAGATACGATGACTTTTGTTGAAAACCCATCAACTTTTTCTGATTATTTAATGTAGAGCCTTTCAATTGTATGAAGGCTGAGGTCAAATCCAGATTCGAGCGCATTTCACTATTTGCCAATAAACGATCATTAATGTGAGTACTCTCCGAATGCTGTTTTCCACTAAAATTATTTCGCTTTTTATTGGCTGCTCGAGGAGAAAAAGATTATAAGAGGAAGGATAAAAAAAAGGGAGAAAAAGACATAAGAAGGAGAAGTAAAAGGAGGATGAATAGTAGACCCTGGTAAAAATTGGCGACAGGAGCTGCGTTTCAAAATACCATAGGAGTTCTTATAGCCGACTGAAGAAGACGATAGAAAATCATATAGCTGGCTGTAGAAAGTGGAAAAAATCATACGGCCGGGCTACACGAAGCGATAAAAAATTATACAGCCGGGGTATAGTTCCTATCACCGGGCTTTACACTTTATCGCCTGGCTGTTGCTTTCTCGCCATCGGCTATAAAAGACTATAAGAAATTGCGTAGAAATTCGCGTGCTTTGTAAATCCCTAAGTTTGTACGGAATCACCTTAATATTTACAAAACGCACATTATATTTTCCTTTACTACATACTTTTTTCATCAATTTAAATGAGAATAATCCATACAGAGTGTGCAAACATTTCAAAGTCATGAGTTAAAAAAGGCTGACTCCACGAGATTAAATATTAGCGCCGAACACAAAGCGGAGCGGCGGCGTACTGGCGCCTACAAACCTAACAAAGATACTTCACGCATTGCGCAACGCGTGAAGTATCCCTGTTAGGTTTGTAGGCGCCAATGCGCGTTTCGCGCTGGCCGCGCCAAAAGAGGAAAATAACCCCAGAAACACGCAATCTTTGCTTTCCGCCCATTTGTACAACGATCTTTTAGAGTTACCTAAGTTTGTCCAATTTTGAGCATTTGGTTGCGCATACACCATGTTGCAGCACAGTAACAGCACAAAATGTAAAAGAAAATATTTAAGTGCTTTGGGAATCATTAAAGACGCGGAACCACCTTAATTGTTACAAAACACATTATGTTTTCTTTTATTACATGTTTTTTTTTTTTTTTTTTTTTTTTTTTTTTTTTTTTTCATCTAATTAAATAAGAATAATTCATGCACGGTGCGCAAACATTTCAAAATCATGAACGGAAAAATGCTGACTCCGCGAGTTTAAATATTAGAACCAAACAGAAGCGGCGTGTTGCCAGAGCGTAACGCGCACAGGCCCCTACAAACCTAAGGGGATACTCCACACATTGCGCAATGCTTGAAGTATCCACTTGGGTTTGTAGGCGTTGGCCGCCCGCCCGCCGTGCCGCAGCGTACCACGGCGCTTGAAGCAACTATTTCACACCAGAGGTTCTACTGCCAAGTTTTACCAGGGGAAGAACAAAGAAGGAAGAAGGCCAAAAGAGAAAAAGGGAAAGAAAAGGGGGAGAAGAAGGAGACGATGAAGAAAGGAGAGGAAAAGAAAAAAGAGAACGAGGAGGAAGAAGATAAAGAAAAGAGGGGGAAAAAAGAAGAAAAATAGCAGTTTGGTAGTAGAATGACTTTATTTTTACTGGGTGCCTTAACATCGGAGGGCATTCACATTTCTGGAAAAATTAACATAAAAATAAAAGAAGATGACGAAGAATGAAGAAATGAAGTTACCGGACATTAAAATTATAACTGAGGGGCTTGGAAAACAAGGCGCATAAGTGCAGTTTTTGCTATTTCGAGAAATACGTTTTTGAAGTTTCGAGATTACATGGATCCTTATGTCGGAGGGAAAGTTCAAGTGACTTTTTGATGCTTAAAAATTTTAATTTGAGGGAGAATTTTTCAAAGATTATACATTAAGACTAATTTTACTTGAAATCAATTTTTTCAAAAACTGCGCTTTGTCCTCTAAGCCTCTCAATTTATGATAAAGCATTTAGACGCATATGACCTCAGTCGCAGGCTTCTCGTGAATGAGTTGAATTGCCTTGAATTTCCACTAAATTTTTAGCCTCGTAGTTTCAGTTTTAAACTTATTGCAAGCTACAAGACTCTAATTTTCAAAATTTAGGCCCGATATCCTCGAAACCACAAAATGGTTACTTTACCCTCCCTTATGGTTACTTACTCCTCCTGTCTTTACTTTAATGGTTGACGCTCATGTGCACTTCTAGCATAAATGAAAGAAAAAAACCATTGTCTCTTTTGAAATTAAATATCTTGAAGAATGACTAGCATATAATAGCATAAGTTCTTACTTAAAGGGTGGTGGGATGTTTTATTTTATTTTTTATGAAATCTTGATAAAACTGGCTGTGCTCCTCATGTAAACTGAAGTGAAATAAACATATTTATTACCTATTATTATTATATTATTTATTATTATAATTGGCATTTAAGTGGTAAGGACTCTTGAATCAGTAAAAAGAGCGCATATTCGTAATTGGCGCTTTTAATTTGAATTTTGCCTCGGCATTTTTTACTAGCTCCACCGTTCTAGTTCTGATTTTTGCCGATAGATCGAGCTATTATTTGTTTTCATTATCATCTTGACCGTGTGCCTAATAAAGTGATCATAGTTTTCTTTCAATTGTTTAATTAATTGTTCTTTAAAAGATAAAAGTTGTCAACTTATTTCTCTCTATTGCCCGGCATTTTTTACCCCTTAATGATCTAGCCTCTTCTTTCAGATTGGATCTCAAATCAGTAAGTCACAGAGTATTTTTTTGTAACCTTACCCTCACAAGTTCCCAAGCATTCGCATTTTGCATAATTTAGTTTGTTAAATTAAACATTTTAAAGCATTCAGCAGCCTTACTCTGCCTCTGAATGTGCCATGTTCCCGAGTTGACAAAGTGGTACCTATTGTGCATTTGTAACTTGTGAGTTGTGGTCAAAGCACTTAACATGAGCAAGGCAAGGCTCACATCTCAGTCACACGTCACCAAATCATCCGGCGGATTGTTGGGAAAGAGTGTGTCCAAAAAGCAATTACTCTATGCATGAAACTCAGTAATTGATCAGTTCTCAGATGAGATTGGATGGTTTACGTGTGTGCCACACTTATAGCTAAGCTTAGAAACCTGAAAAGAGCTCATTGAAGTTATGAGCAGAAATTACCGCCTACCTTAATACTGGGAAAGCACAGGAAGTGGTCTCTGAGGGAGTAAGTAACTCGTGTATCTTGAAGGTAAGGGTTTAACTTACCAACTAGGCTGATTGAGGCTCTCGGCAATCTACTCGCCAGAGTGCCTGTTTTGTTGGGTTCTCTACCAACCCGAGTTAAAGTTGTGATCTCTTTTTAAGGTTAGAAGCGTCCAGTTCTTTCAAACCATTCTTAAACCCAATTGATAAGTTGTCAAGCGTTCTGAAAGTTGAGAGGAAGCATCACCTCTGATGTTTCAATCAAAGCTTAATAGATACTATGGAATTACTATTTGACCGCAGACGCAGCGATCATCATCACAACCAACCAGTTAAATTCAAAAGGTGGAAGCCAGACAGCCATCCTTTGATGTAGTCGAACCGAATACATGTGCATCGGCCTATGAGTCCGTGAGGATGAAGGGACAGTAAGTAAGGCAAATATATGGCAAGGCATGGAACAGAACAAGACTCTACTGTGGTACGATTTAAGTTAGACTTGTAGTTGTTATCTGTGTTGTAGAAATGTAAATTTTTTTGCTGGCCACCACGTTTAGGAATTTACCAAGGAGGAAGGTAACTATTGTTTTTCTTCACACCGTATACAGGTTTTGAGCTTCTCTGGGCTGCACAGTAGAGAATTTTAAGCGAGTGGCCAGGTCGTTGCTGTCAGGAATGGTGTGTTTAAATTAATGGTTGTCACTTAATCCTGATTTTACTGGCTCAAGTTGTGTGAAAGGGACTTCACTTAATACTTAACAATGATCAGCCACCCTTTACCAAAGTGAAATAGGAGTCCATGATTGAAATCTAATAAATCTGACAAAGTGGTAAGTATGAGTGTGTGGTTACTAAATCATTTATCATTTTGTCAAGTTTTACCTCAGCTATTATCCAGCACTTTTTACTGATTTGATATCTTCACTTTGTCTCATTCAGGTATAATGCCACGAGGACCTCCACCAGATCGTATGAATAGACGCAGAGCCCCTCCACCGCCATCTTTTGGAGTGGAACAACCTAGAGGACGGATCTCACTAGAACCTCCCAGAGGACGACCCTTGCTAGAACCACCAAGAGGTCGATCGACCTTGGAACCACCTCGGGGACGGCCGGCAAAATCCCCACGCAGAAAGAATGACCGTAGTGCAGATTTCCAGCGTGGCTATGAGGAGCCACCACCACCGCGAAGAGAGCGATTTTCCCCACCACCACCTCGCAGGCGCTCACGATCACCGATTGGTAAACCTAGAGAGCGAATACTTCCAATGACTCCCCCTCCACCTAGGAGAAGTCTCAGCCCAAGACGATCTAGAAATCCACCGCCACAAAAATTGCAGAGGTATAATGTATTTTCAAAATGTCCTGAAAACAGAATTTTTTCTTAAATACCGTAGCGGCTAATTTTTCTTGTGTACCAAAAAAAGAAAGCAGGAAAAAATTAGGGAAATTAGGTGCGTAGAAATTTTGCTTCACAAAATGTAATTATATATTTGATTTAATAAATCTATAATCCTACTATCAAGTGAATATTTAATGACAGCTGCTCGCCCAACAATAAGTCAAGAGAGATTCCTGGCACTATCGCTGGTTTTGACCCCCTTTCACTTATTTAATTTGCCTACAACATAATTAAAAACTCAAATTTGAATTTCAAGTACATACTCTTGCGTTAGATTACATTAAAAATTGACCAGTATGAGGCTGCATTTTATCGCCCTCCTGAAAATTTTGGCTACTCACCGTAAGTCACATTTCCTGCAAGTGCATCACAAATTCAATCATTATCCACTGCTTCTTTTACCATGCTAACACTTCTGCCATTAAACTTTTCTGCTTAATTTTTAGGAGTAAAAGTCCGAAAACAGTCATCGACAAAAGTTACGCGAGCTCCAAGTTCACAGACAGGATAGTTGATGATGACCTTCTGGGAGAGAAAAAGAACAGGTAAGTCAAAGAAGTACCTCAATAATTACTCTGTAAGTACTTTCATTATTCCTGAAACTAACAAAATATTGAAATTTTGTTGGATGTAATACTAAAATCTGGGACAAAACAAGTGAGGGAAGTTGTTACTTCTCTCCAAGCATAGTACACGTGTGTCCAAATGTTATCCTGGTAAAAACCCTCAAGAAGCAAAGAGCTCACTTCCTTTTCCTACTTTCCTTTTTTTTATCCTTTTCCTCTCAACGCAGTTCCTTATACTTCAATTATTCAACAAGTATGTCCTAAATAAACATTTCAATGAGTATTTTCTCTACAAAATAAAATAAACAAAACCATAAGAAATTCATGCATATTTTATTACTCTTCCTTGTAGTCGCAATTGATTTTCTGTCATGTCCTTCCTTTTAATGCTGTTAAATGGTCACATTATGGAGTATGTTTGTGAGTACTACGTATATCTATCAGTGGATTTTAAGTGTTCCATGAATTCCCCATGTTTTGTCACCAACTGAAGACTCAAAGAGAATATTTATTTTTCTGTTTGGTTTATAAAGAAAACAGGTCTTTATTAATCAACTGGAAGGTTTCTTCATGTTGCTGTTTTCCTTGATCTGAATGTATATCTTCTGTGTTTAGTTTCGGCTCAGGTGTAATGGACCGGTCCATGTTTCGTGGTCCTGAGGCATACACATCATATGACCCAGAAGAGATTAAAAAAATAAGGATTTTCATCCGAAGGCGACTCACCTCCTCAGATACAGAACCAGTAGCTGCAAATCACTTATCTCAAGATGACCTGAGCTTCAACCATCGTTCAGGTATGTTTGTACCATTGTTTTTGCTTATTCAAAAGGTCAGGTGATCTGAGACCTATCAGATCGTTCAAAAAACATTCTTTCGTTAAATTTTAGGTGACTGTCTGAATGGCTGAGTAATTTTGGAGAAATAATATTGTCAGCTAAATTATTTTAATTTTTCCTTTCATCGCTGAAAAAAAGCTGTAATGTTCAGAGAGAAGATTTTGCTAACTACGCTTACCTCTGATGAAACCCATAGGATTTTTATTTTGCCTTTTCTCTTTTTTAATCGTTGTACCTTTTTTCTGAAAATACAAGGTTTTTTTGGATTTGAAACTAATAAATATTTTTCAAGCCTCACTAGCTAGTGTCAGAAGTTGTGCATATGGCCAAAAAATTGAGAGTTTTAATCTTCCTGCAAAATCGTATGATCTTTCCTGGATTTCATTCATGAAGTTTTGATACTCAGATTAGAAGAAAAAAGAGGCACATCAGAATTTAACTTTTAATTTTATATTCTTATTCATTTTTTTCTTAGCTGATAATATCATCCATCTAGGTCCAGTAAGACCTTGAATCATCGAATTGCGATTTAACGGATCGATCCTCCGGTCCCTTCAGCAGGACTGCCTAGCGCGATTTAGCGGATTCCACAATTTAACGGATTCGGCCTCCAGTCCTGTGAAATCCGATAAATCGAGGTCTTACTGTACATAAAAAAGAGTCATAATTGTGGAGCTTTCCGGGAAAAGGGCACATACTTAGCATAAAACCGCGTTTAAGAAAAATGCATTTGAAGTTTCCATCATTACTCTATGGCCACTGACTGTGACTTGCATAATTAATTAGCAGTCCAAGCTCTGATGTAAGTTACCGTCAGTGGCCAGAAAGTAATGATGGAAACTTCAAATGCATTTTTTCTTACGCGTTATTTTTGCTTTGTGCCTTTTTTTCCAGAAAGCTCCTCAATTATTCATTTGGTGATCATTTTGAAAATTGATCCTAACAGTTTGTTATGCCTAGCTGTTCAATATTTGTGTTACCTTGTCTACTTCCTCTCTTAGTTCGGTTTTCTACAAGTATTCAATACGTCTCCTTTATATTCTAAGTCTTATTGGTTTTCCGTAATTGTACTAATGTTTTAAGATCAGTCATAATTTGACACCTATGTCATGATTTTCTTGTTGTTTCATATCTATTTTTCTATTCTTTAATTTAAGTAATCCCGTGAAAATGGGTATTGTTTTGTAACTTGCTACTGAAAACTCGTTCTTTGTAGATTGTCCAATTTTTTTGCTGCTCTGTAAAATGCCTCCGTTGAAGAGAGCGCTAAGACTGTAAATCTTAGTTGCTTGCCAGCGTGGGTTTCATACTTCTTTCCAAAACAAATACAGAAAATCCTTTATTGTGTAACCGAAAAATTTAAAGACATCAAGAAATATACTTTTTCTGAAAAGTGTCCCCATGAAAGCAAGTAAATCAAGGAAAACAGCAGGAATAGTACCCTACCTGAAAACTCAAGATTCAGGAACATGATGCATTGATAAAAAAAAGATCATCGGAAGAAGAACTAACTCTCTCATTGCAAAATTTGTATCAAACACTGTAGCTGCGATTAGGACCAGAAAAAAACACCAGGAGTGCACATTGTCTCCATGATTTGATGACACATCTCCGCCTCAGCTTCTAGAAGGAACTAAGTTTTCAAAACTAATTTAATTCTGGACAATTGCACATAGTTTCTTTGCTAAAGTACCTCCTCATAAACCCAACTCCTTCTAGAATATTGCCTCTAAGAACAAAGTTAGGCATTAATCGGTCATTGTTAATCATGGGTAACTATTGGAAAAGATCCATGCACACAACCAAGATCCATGCTTCACACCTCTTCCTTCAAAAACAACAGAGAAGCATTTTATTCTAGAGGAGGAATACCGAGAAAGGGAATGAATACTACTCAAGCCACTCCGTAAAGCCCTCTGTAATGAAGCAGTGATATGCTATTATGATGGGTTCTTGTATGGAAACAACTTTTTTTGGTTACTTCGGAGGGTGTGAATGTTTGAAAGACGGAACCAAACGGAGATGATTTCTGAGAAATGGAGAACCCAACCTCCAACTTGTAGAATTAGTAACTCATTAATGTCTTCTGCATCTTTCTAAAGAAGAACGAGCTTCTTTTACCAAACCCCCTATGAATACAAGAATCCCAATTAGATTTCTGGTAGAATCTTTCATGGTGCTGAAACCCTGATAATTCTCTTACACCTCAATGAAAGAACTTGAAGAGACTATTCAAAACCATACTGGACTCCTCAGCTTCTTAAACAAGTTGCTGAATTCTTGAAAGTCTACCAAAAAGAAGGAGGTACCTCAAACTAAAATTCTGATGACTTTTTGTGATGTTGCGCCCTTTCTCTAAATGTACAAGAAGGTTGGTAATACTGAAAAGGAGAAAAAATTATAATGTCCAGAATAGCTGTAGCAGGAAAATTCTATTCCTAATCATTCCTGGCTTTGTATTCTTCCTTTTTCACCGCCCAAATCGGATTTTTAAACACCTTTCTTTTAATTACTGGTTTTTTGATGACGCCGATCTCAACAACTATGCCTGGTCTTGGAAGGAAACAGTTAAATTACTTGTCGACTCAAAATTCTGATCGTATTTTTGATATTTTCTCCGCTCAACTTCAAGCAGAATCTCTTTTGCCCATTATTGACATCTTGAAGCAGAATTTTTATCAAGGCCTTCAAAGTTGTTCGAGCACCCGTTATTTCTAGTATGCCACATCTAGTATGATACTGAGGAATTCATCAGAATAAATAGTATAATCATTTATTGAAATACAATTATTAATCGAGGATATCTCTCTGCATTCTGCATGTCATGCAATAATATTCTTAAATGTCTGAGCCCACTCAAACATTTCAGAAGATGCTGGAAGTCGCAGCACTCGAAGAAAACAATGAATTCTTTTCAATATGCAGCATTGAAAACAGGTCTTAAATGAGAAATCTTTATGGGTCATTCAGTCAAAACTTAATGGAGCGGGACAATTTGCCGAATTATTCTTACGTAAATATGTCAAGCCACTACTCCAGCGCACTAGAGCGCTCTGCAACGCCCACTGGCCATTTGAATGGATCCCTTCATGGATCATCAGACAAATGATGACACCCTCTGATCTCCTCTTCTACTCTCCCACTGGCCATTGGAATGGAACCCTTCATGGATCATCAGACAAATGATGACACCCTCTGATCTCCTCTTCCACTCTCTGCCACCAACCTTTTACTGGACATCCACGCCGTCCCTTCCAGGAGAAACCCAATCGAACCCCTGTTCGGGGAATTGACCGTCTGCCATTTTCCTCACATGTCTATACCAAACCAGCTGTCTGGTTTTGATATCTTGCGCAATATCATTCTCAAGTCCTGTAACGAACGCCATTTCTTTGCAAGATCCCTGCAGATCTCTGCCAAAAGTCCATTTCAGTCGCTTTTAAGATATTCTCGTATATTTTCTTCAACTATTATTTTTATTCAGAATATATTTCTCCCTCAGTCAGACTTTATTTAAAGTTATGGATAATGAGTTGCCAGATCTCACTGTGAACCGCTTTCCTTTGTTGCAAGAAAACCACGTTTTCACACATTTCATCTTCTCTTCTAAAGATCTTTTGAGCTTCATTCAGAATCACTCATTTCGATAGATTCGTGTTTCTTCCATGTCATGAAGTTGTCTTGATGTGCCTGTGCCAAAAACATCTCGAAATAGAAGTAATCCATCCTCAACGACCACCGGAGATTTGATTAGCATGTGAGTCTCCATTAATCCAAATCTTGAGCAGCAGCACAATTTTTATCACCTTGTAAATCATGAAAAAAGGTCAAATGACGAGGCGTACATCAAATATTGTGTAGTGATAAACTATCACTCCTTTGTTCCTCAATTTACTGACATGTATCATCAAGCAGCTTGTCGCAAAAGTTGGTTGAATTCGTAGATTCGTTATAGAATAATGAAATGCAGTTATTTTGTAAAGCCCCACCCTAAGGGAACTGAAATGAAGTGGAGACTTTCTTGAAGTTCTTAATTCTATGAAAAAACTTGTTGAATATCAAAATTGCGCACTGGCCGAGCTGCGTCTGCAGAATTAATTTGAAAGGAGACGATTTATGCCTTAGTGGTGAAGAAAGTATTCTGAACCACTGTATTCTTCACTGCAAATGCATCGAAACCAACCCTCTTCATTCTACTCTTATCAAAATTAAAAGTTGAACTCCTCTCTACCATAGCTCAACTTCTACAAGCTGAATCTCAAGAAATTTATGTTGCGCTCTAGAATCATCCTGCTTTCAACAAGATCGAACTTTAACCTTTCAAATCATCTGTAATCTGTGTCTTATAATTATCTGCAGGAAGTGATCCAACGAAGATCCCGTTTTACTGATAGTGGCTGTTCATCAGCACAGCGGAGTTAGGGCAATCCAACAAAAACAAACAAACCACGAAGAATATAGAGGTTGAGTCATTTTGTCTCAGCAGCAGCAAATTTTCTTGTATTCTTCAGAAATGTAGTTCCTTGCCAACCACTTTCTATCACCCTCAATATCCCAAAAGGAAGATTTCAGACATCGCTCCTCGGAACCTTTCACTAGCCGTTTATACATCTCAAAACTTATTGTATTACATAGTCAACTCTTGTCTTCAAGGCGTGATTTGTACCTACGTGAGAGTAATGAGTTCAATACCAGGAGCCATCAAGACTGATAACTGTCCATCATATTGAATTCCTGCATGTTGCTGTTGTCACCAGCTCTTTCTCTGCACGGAGTGAAATTATATCATGACTGAAGAACCCAAACTTTCAAGGTATATTTTGTGGAAGTCAAAGACATTGTAAACTCAGAGTCTCAGAATAGTTTGGAGTGATAAAAGGTCGAGTTACAAAACTAATGAGGTATCATCAATGTATCTCAACTTGGACAACCCTGAACGATTGGATTTCGCCGATTTTCAAATTTTATTAAGCGGCACAACAATCATCAAACTTTCAAATCATGGTCGTATGTGTGAGCAGTCTTGGTGAAATCATCTATTCGCCTCATGTACAAGAAGTTTAATCATTTTGTGTTTGCGGTCCAATCAGGAACGTATGAAAATATAACAACCTCAAAATCGGCGCTTTGGCTCATTTATTGCAAGTGGTTTACACTCCATGAATTTTTGAAGAAGAATATGTAAGAATTCTAAAAGTTGTATGTAATTAGTTTAGTCGTTCATTCTCAAAGCTTACACCAAATAGTATAATATCATAGTATCAATAGTATAGTATCAATAGTATCAACTTCATGGCCCATCTCTTAAGAAAGTTTTTCGATCAAAAATTTTTCTTTTATGAAACAAAAATCAAACCATTTCTAGATAATCGTGAAAGTAACCAGGGAATTAAACTTGTTTGCATTGTATTTTAATCTTTGAACACACTTTTCAAATTTCTTTTTTTGGGAGACGCACTGAGCCCCGGAGAAGATTATGAATACACTTATATCTGTGTAAGCTATTTAATTTTTTCAAGTCACAATTCTTAAATGTCTTGAATTTTTTTAATGGCTGATATTGAGCCTACAAGATTCAATGATTTCTTGAAAACACACTCAGCTATCTTTTAGGGGAAAAAAATATCGTAGTAAGTAAAAAGTGTAACTTTACGATCGCAATAGAGCAATGAATGTACAATCGACTCCTCCTGTCCATGCCAAAAAGCCTGTTTTTTTACCTCCAATCATCAAAAATAACCAGCCTGCCCTGTTGATAGCACTGGATTCAGGAATCAGTTTAAAAACCTCAATATGTTTTACCAACATATCAACCCAGTGGTTTACTAGCCCAGAAAAAATTTCCTCTCAACGAACAAAAAATTCCTGTGCAGCATAAATCATTGTCCGAACTTTCAACTTATGATGAACGTCTTTTGGCAGCTTTTTCATCCGTTGAAGTTACTTCGGCATTCTCCATTGACTTCTATACAAGGAGAAAATACCTCACCCAGCTCTCAACTGCACTCAATCTCATCTGATCATCCATAACTCGTCTGCAACTGTATGTCTGTCAATGTTTTTGTCTACTAATCTGTACCGCTGCCATCGTCCGCAAAAATTGAATAAAATCGAGACTCCTGCGTTTAGTTTATCTCTCTTTTTCCACGTTCAACCAATAGTTTTTATTCTCTAGGTACAATATCAAACCATTTCTTCTCCTCTCACTATCATCAATTTACATCGGTGAGCTTTTTTTTCTAATATTTCGTCAAAGTCAAAAACAAGATTGCTATGAATTGTCCTTGTTACCGATAGAAAAAAGTGAGAATCACAAGAAACCATACAAATAAATGAGGGACTTATCCTTTACTTTCAGCTCATCACTTCTTTCCATTCAAGCATATAATTTTAAGAAGTTTACAACATGGTTGGTAAACAGTAGCAATCCTGGTTTCGACACTTTAAATACTTATTCTGTTCTCGAATATTTTTTATTTTCTCTTCTCACTTGTTTAATCCTCTAGAGCGTGAATCCTACCGTGAGCCTCCAAAAATGAAGCGCCTTGAAGAGAACTTCAGATCATCAAAAGACCACCGTGGAAAAGAAATGCCTTCCTGGAGTGATCATCCTGAACCAAGTTCGTATACTCCTTTGAGTGTAGCTATCACCAACCTGAAAGTTTTGAGGGAAAACATTCACTCTCACACACATCAAGAGCTTTTCATGATTGTTGTGTCTGAAGTAGTCGAGATTCCTTCATAGATTAAAGTGGATGCTATTTCCAGTATAGATTTTAGTAAACTCGTGCTTTTTGCCCTCAAAATTGTATTCGCGCTGAATACACTTATCAAATTGATCCAAGAAAACCTGGAATTCTACCAAATTGTTTTAATTCAACCACAAAATTAAGCACAAGTTTATTAAAACTCCCTAACTTAGTACTCCACTTTCATCCCAATCTTGGTCTGTTTTTCACGGCTGATTCATTAGAGTTTGTCAACTGTGCTGAAATCATCCTCTGTCTGCACTCAGAAATGACATGACACCTGTACTTCGCTCTTTCGTCCTTTGATGAAGTTACACACCATTTGAACTGCAAGACATTTCAACATCCTTATTTTTCTAGGATTCACCGCTGAATCTCACTGCTCGTTTCCACCCTTTGCTACTAAAAGCATTTTGCAATCTTCGTGGTTAAAAATTCAAAAATGGCTGCAGGGGCTGAACAGATTTGCATCCAAGAACCTCCATCGCAAAATTCTTGCAGTTAGAAGCACACCTCATGATTCGAACAAATGCCTGATTATTGTATCCCAATTTGTTTCATTAAGGGTCTTTTAATGAAAGGTAGAAAACAAATTTTGTTGTTGAATGGGTCAAATTATTTTTGGTAAGTAAGTTTCATCTGGTATGAAATATTCAACACAAAGCTTGAATCAAGTTCTCATTTAGCTCTCTCTCCGTCTTATTATCTTGGTAAGATTTTGAAGCACATGAGTCAACGAATCTCATGCAACATTATTCATCGTCTTCTCTTCACAACTGGAATAAGTTTCCTGCATCGAATTTATCTCAGTGCTACAAGCTCTCATAGATTTTTGCTGTACATGATTTTCTGTTGAATCATAACGTCTTCAAAGTTAGTTTTATCTACTTATAGCTATGTAATTAGAATTTCTGTCTCAACAATCTTCATGTAAGTTTCCTTTCCTATTTTCTGAAATTACCTTCACTCGTGGATTATAATTTAAATAAATAATTGCATCCAAGTAAATGTAAGTATTCAAGTATTTCAATAGTAAACGTACTTATCTTTGACCAATCTTGCCAAGTTTGCATTGATTTGAGAGTCTCATGTACATATTGTATCATACAATATTTCAAGTGCTTTCTCAGACTGTGTTCTTTCATTGTGTCAGCATTTCATTGAACACTGTGTGTCTCTTTTTAAGCATCCTTCTAAAGTGTTTCCAAAACTTATGGATTTCTAACCAATATTATAATTTTATTTTCATTCTGTTGATTAGTTTTATGTTTTGTCTGTATTTTCATATCTCTTGCAAGAATTAGCTCTTAAGTAGATTTTAAGTAGGTCTATCAACCCCTGAAAATAAGTATCATCAAAAAACTGTATGAACTGTCTCTCTATGACTGAAGTGTAAAGATCGGGATTCACAATGAAATGCGAAGTCTGTCTTAAAAAATTAAAAAATTGACCAATTTTTTATAGATTTTTTCTATTGTTTAGAACGTATTGTCAGCATTGCAAAAATTTCAACACACAAGTCTCCCTCCTCTCATCTGTATTTTACTACCATCACCCATCATTTTATTCATTCACTTTTTCATTACCCCTGAGCTCAAATTCAACTGTAATCAAGAATCTCTCCGTCAATCAACCGAACAATGAGATTCATCATTTCGAATGTCAAATCGAAGTTTCCTGGAGTTCAGAATATCAACATTCTCTGGATGTGTGAACCATCTCCCTTCTTAAGATAGTCATTTTCGATTTGCATCAATCTCTCTTTTAACCAAAGAAATATCATCGGCCTCTGCTCTGTAACACCTTCTTTCCGACTGGAGCTCATCAAGAATTGATGTACATATTCGACTGTCTACACTTAATATCCTTCAAATCTACCGTGGAGAGAATTCTTAAAGTTATTTCCTCATCACTCTTCAAAAGTTGGCATAAATCAGGGTGCTTTCCGGTCTAGGAAGTCCAAGAAACGTTGAAGGAGCGCATATTTTGTGAAAAATGAAGACATTTTGTGGAGTTAGTGAAATTATGAGAATGTTCTTGATTGTTTTGCAAAATTTTTCCAGATTAAAAATGTTAAGATTTTTTTAAGAAAAATTCTACCCTAAATTGTGATGATAAAGTACTTTAGAAGCACACCATTTCTTTCGAAGAGCAGCTATTTACTTTTTTACCAGCGAGGAGTACTTCTATAGAAGCACTGAAAAATCACCTTTGGCTGTTTTAAGAAGAGACCTTATGTAATGAGTATTGCTCAAAAGCGAAATATTTTCCTTGCACTTGTGTGTCTTCACTCCTCACTCACTCAACTGGAACATTTGATGCGCAAGATGGAAAACTTGTCAAACTTGTCAACCTCAGCATTTCTGTCATGTGCGACCATAATCCATAGCAATCTGATGGAAGTTATGTGAACTGTTTGCCTCCTGGATGGCGTACCTCTGCTACTGAGAATTTCAGAATCTTACTATAGCCGAGGGATTTGATTCCTAAAATGATGTGAACGATCTTCCTTGGCTGTGATTCTTTTCCAACTTCAGTTCTCATCAACCAAATCAAGAATATTGATTCAATCAACAGAATAGTGCTATTTTCCTCCATGAAAATTTCTTCCTTTTTTTTTGGCATCAATGTGTTTGTAATGCAGTGTCTTTCATTACAAGCGCAGACCCACACCTGTCAAGAAATCAAGATACTTCAGTGGACACAATTTCGGAGAACATAACTTTTAAGTGGTTGTAATGTCTCTCATGACTGACTTGGACAAACCCTGCTTTATCCAAACTCTCATTCTCTGTTGATGGGTGTATCTAGTTTAATTCACCAACTTTGGTTCTTCGTAGTACAGCACTGAGTTTGCTTCTCTACATCTAACAAATAATTAGTTCTCTTCAGAAATCTGTAAAATGTTCGCAATTGTCAAATTAGTCCAGCTTGATAAGTTCGTAAAATGATCCAGTCCAAAAAAGTGCCGTCCCATGCCTCACATTATATTTTCCTTTCAAAAAAGCAGAAGACTCATTTTGTCTCGTGGAAGATTAATCGTGGAATTGGAATAAATTAACAATGCCAGAAAATCAAACCGATAATGGTACCAGAAATCAAACTAATGGAAAAACTCAAAACATTAGCCTTGTGTTACAGTATGAACTTAGCCAAGTTTGAATTTTGGATGGATACTTGGTAATTTTTCTATCAACGTTTCAAAAGAAAATGCAAACAAATTTAAGAGTCGGTCTTGAAAACTGAGTCGTGTGGAGGATCAGAACAAAATGAACGTTGCATTTCAAGTCTGGCTTACAGCATGCATTTTGGAAAATATTTGTCTTTCAGAATTTTTTTGCTCCTCTGATCCCAGTCTTGACCAAAATGAAGAGAAATAATTTACTTACTTAATTACTATAATTACCTTTAAACGGAAAAAAAATTCAAGAAACATGTCTTCTTGCTGCCTATCTTGTCGCCATTTCATCGATGTATTCATCTCATATTCCTGCAAAATCAATTTTGCATCCTGTTTTGCAACCAAATTTATGTCAACAAAATGAAAGATTATAGGTAGAAAAAGAATGAAATAACAAATGACAAACAAAATTCTGCTCCATCTATTCATTTTACTAAATCTGGTTAATTCGTTGTCCTCATAGTATCGGCAGTCAAACAATGGATTTCTTCAAATGATGAAAATCTTTTAGTCCAGACCCAAGCTTCCCAAGAAGATACATATCTACACTTTGCATAACATCTTAACCGAAGTACTTTTGTCACCACTTTTTAAGTCACTACGATGATAGTGGACATTGGCTGTACACTGCGTTCTAGGAGGTACATTTTTTTTCGCTTGAGACTGACTTCAGAATTTCGAAACTAAATTCTAAGTCTCCCAAGCTAGAATTACTCTTCGTCTTTGGATCAAATATTTCATATCAACCCTTACTCACCAATTGAAAGTATCGCTTTCAGGGTTTTTTTTTTTTTTTTTTTTTTTTTTGATGATAGCATCATTCCAAGAAGATCATAGTCATCAAATCTTGTCTTTAGTTTGGACTTAAAGAGTGATAATCCATAGCATACCTTGAATACATGAGTATTTAAATGAATTATCTGCACTTTCCAGTATCTCTTGTTAGTTATTGTATCCCCCTCCCCTTTTTTTTTCTTTTTTAAATTTATGCATTTGTAATTTTGTAAGCTATTCAATATGTTAGCTTTAAAATGTCATTGTTCTCATTGCCTTCACTGTTTGGTAAAAAGTATCTTTAACTTCAGGAAAAAATTGTCGAATCATCTTCATTTGTATTCTAGAATGTGTTCGACATTTTGAACAACAAATTTTGCATGATAACTATTTCAAAATGTGTCTCTTTAACTGTCTAGTACACCTTCTATTGTCAGGGAAATTTGCTCCTAAATTCTGTGGCAACTCAGTTCAAAGCATGTTACTTGGCCTTTTTATTTGTATAAGGACAAAACAAATACTTCAAAACGATTGAAACAATCAAATCCTCAAAAATTGGAGTGACAAACGATTTTTTCATTTTGAGGTGTAAAATTTCTTTTAAAACCTGCCATTTTCTTTAAATAAACTAAAATATCTCATGTATTGAGCTTTTTTCAAAGTAAAAACTTATCTTCTGAAGACTTTGAGCAACATTGCGGAAACAGTGAGCAGAAATTTGAACTTCTTCAAAATTCATCTCACTCTCCGATGATCAATCTGTATAATCAGGCATTTGGGTAGAATTTTGATGTATTTTTAAAACGTCTTTTTCGTCACTATGACAAATTTTGAATCTCTCTGGTTTTATCGTCTTGTAGCCCTGAGACTTGCCGAAAAACTGGAGTTCGTGCTATTTGAGGTCTTTGGATAATGCAGTCTATTGTCCTCAGAGCTAGCAGCAAAAATGGTAATGTAAAATTTTGGAATTGTTTTGTCACGTTTTAAATGGTGCAATGACTTCATTAATTGAATTATAGTTATCGTCACTAAGAAAAGGCGGGTGAGGTGCTTATTAAGTAATTGACTTGAGGTATTACTTGATGGTTGGCAGGCAGGTAAATTAGCTCTCTTAAACAATTCAGTCTCGCGAAAGTCAATCAATCCTCAAACAGTTAATCAAGTTGCTCATTTGCTTCTATTCGCCACTTCCATGTTGATGAGTGTATTTTTTCCCTCAGTTTTCAATTTTTGCTTACAGATTAGTTCTTAATGCGTACGATAAGAAAAAAAATGCCTTTTTAAGTATTAATTCCTTGAGATTTGTAGTAATGTATAACATCTCGTCATGACGGTTTTTAAAACAAAGACCCCAGAATAATCTAACTAGCACCTTCAAATTTTTCCCTGAAAGACAAGGATTGAAAAAAAAAATGGTGTTCTATTGATAGTCCTCATTCAAAAATTCTTATAAGAAGCACAGAGGTTCTTTATGTTGCTGCAATAGCTCAGCATTGCATCCATGTCTAACTTTTAGTCATGTTCATTTTCTTCTCACATTAAATTAATCTTTTCCACTTATCAAACAGAAAGTCATTAATGGATGGATTCTACATCAGTAGCCTTTCTTCTCATGAAATATTAGTTGCTCAGATTATAATTCATCTCTCCTTTTTGAAGAAATTCGTTTTCATCTTGTATTTATTTTTTTAAAAAAATTCCAAAATTATTTTCAGTGAACATGAGAGATGCTCCTCCCCCATATGAAGAGCGAGCAGGTCCACCCAGAGATCGATACAGATCCCCTCCGCCCAGTCGTAAACATGACGACCGTATTCCACCCAGAGGTTTCGAGCGGAAGCTGCCAAGAGATGATTTTCATGAAGCAGATGATCACTACCCTCCTCAACGGTACAAAAATAATCACTTCCATCTTTCATGATTATATCAATTTATATTTGTCAGTGATAAATTTTTAGCCATCATTACTTAAGATGATTCGATGGACGCCATATTTTGAGTCAGAACGGCATGCAATATATCGCACCAATTGGTTCCATTTTTCAACTACTCGTCATTTCTCTCAAATTGTGAGATCGCAATTCTGTTGTCAGGAGACTAAAGCACTCACTTACCAATTTTAACAAAGAAATTCAACGTAGTAAAGGCGTGGTTTTTTTAGAGAGAAAATATCGCATTCGAGTGCAGTTTCGATATCAGTATCGAATGCAATGTTTTCTCTCTAAAAAAACCACGCCTTTATTACATTGAATTTCTTTGTTAAAATTAATAAGTGAGTGCTTTAGTCCCCGGACTACAGAATTGCGATCTCAAAATTGGAGAAAAATGACGAGTAGCTAAAAAAATGGAACTAATTGATGCGATATATCGCATGCCGTTCTGACACAAAATATGGAGTCCATCGAATCACCTTAAGGTAGAATCTGAATCAAATTTTCTAGAAGCCATTTCAAATCTTCATGATTGAACCTGAAACCTTCTGATGCAATGCCTGAAATAAAATGAAGTATAATGAAAATACGCTTTGCAATTAAGATGCTTGGAGAACAAGGTACCTAGGTGCAGTTTTTGAAAAAATTGAGGTATTAATGATTTCAAGTAAAGCAAGTCTTAATGCATATTCTGTTGAAAATTCGCTCCCAAATTCCGATTCATAAGCATCAAAAAGTCAGTTTGAACTTCGTCTTTATCATAAGGATACATGTAATTTCAAAACTTCAAACATGTGTTTCTCAAAATAGCAAAAATTGCACTTATGCGCTTTGTCCTCCAAGCCCCTCAATTGAAGTTCTCATGAATTGAGAAAGGAAAATGGTTTATTGAAATGTTACCTTGCCACTAATGTATTCAGTGTAAAAAATTGTCTCCCCCCACCCTTGAAGAAAAAGAAAAACTAAATTCAAGAAATTTCCAGCTTTTTCTGATCCATGATTGAATTCATCTTTTTTTCCAGGCTCATGCACGATAATGGGCGTGCTGAATTTGACCGCCGCCCCTCTCCTATTCCATATGGACGAGGAAGAGACGAGGGTTTGAGAGACGACAGGTATGTTGATTCCTCAGAATTATTTTTCAAAATAATTCATGATAAGGCATTTAATAAGCAGTTCAAGCTATATTTTCCAGCTATGAATTTTTTTTTGCCAAAAATTATAGCAAATAAATTAGTTAAAATGTAGGTGTGTAGTTTCAACACACTTTTTCCGAACCTTATATGTCATGGGTAAATCATGAAAACCGTCCTGAAAGTAGGGTTCTCTTCACCAAATCTGACAAAAAAAAAGTTCTGTCTTTATCAGGATCAAAAAATATTTCAACTGTACCATTTCTGTAACGTTTTTGACCTTGATTACAATTCTTGTTTTAATATTAAATCGCATTTTTTCAGACTGGAAGGACGCCCAAGACCAGGTGAAAAAAGGCTGTCTTCTGGGCGATCAAAACTTGACGCCTCATACCCAATGCCTAGTGAGAGGAGACCCAGTCCAGAATATGTTGATCCCTACCGTAAGTAATGATGTCATCATTGATCTAACATTCTAATTGGAGGAGTAATGTCAAAGAAGCATGAGATGTTTTCAAATGACATATAAAACTAGTAAGATGCATGATGGGCGTGAATCACAGGGAGTCCTGCAGCAAATTTTTAAAAAATTTAGCTCTGTTAAGTCCACCAAATTGGTACTTGAAAGTAAACATTAAACATGTAAAAGAAAATGTAAGTGACTTTGTACATTTCTCAAGTATTCTCAATTACAACACTATGCACAACAATTATATCCAAATTTAAAAGAGAAACAAAGATCTGGTTGAATGGGTCCTGTGTATAATCGGTGGGAAGGTGCACAACAAATTACCAGCCAAAATTTAACAGTTTGAGACAGACAACATATTTTTCTAAGCAATTCATGGACAAATGACGGATGGCTATTAGGTATTACTTTGTTAAGGAGCATCTGGAATCCAAGTTGCACCATAAGTAGTTGGACAAATTTCTGTTTGTTTCGACAATTTGTTAAAATTTTCCTAAATGTGAGCTATATTTTTGTAAGCTTGACGGGACCATAGGTTGACATGTATTAATTTAATAAGAAATGAATAATTATTGACTTCACAAAAATTCTGCAAGAATATTTTGGAGCATATCACAAGAAAACCACAATGCAAAATATACTTAACATTGATTCCTCCAAGTTAAAAAGTAAAAAAGTTGGAAGGGGCCTCACTTATTTAAAATTGAAATTAATTGCTGATAATAAAAACCGTATGAAGGAGAATTTTGCACAAGACTAAGAAGTAGAGCAGTATGTTGTCATCAAAGTGCAGATTGGTAAAAACACTAATCAATAGGTCTACCCCAGAATTAATCATTAAGTGCTAATTATACATGCAACTAAGCAGGAGCGCTATCATCGTTGCGATTTCCGATAGTTTAAACCAATATGTTGTAATCACTTTCATCATATTTTTTTCATGATCTCTCGCCGCAGTAAACTCAGGCGGGAAGGGAGCATGTTCATGGTAGATACTCCTTATCATTTTTATCATTTTTGTTTTTGCCTGACTTCAATTTTAATTGAATGTCTTTCATGTTCAATTGAATCATGTAGCATGTATTAATTAATTTTGTTTCTGTTTTTTTTTTTTTTGAAGGTCGATCACCTGTGGATAAATATCGTAAAGCCCCAAGAGGGCGATCAATGTCCCCACATAGAAGATTAGGACCACCACCAATGGAGAGGTCACAGAATATTGATCGGCGCAGGGATGGTCCACCCCGAGAAGAACACTTCCGGTCTCCACCGAGAGCTAGAGAAACTATGAATGTAAGAATTTTATTTTTTAATATTTTTGACTGCAAGTAGATAAGAAATTTTCTGGTAGTATTCCTTTGAAATGAAGTCAGGATTCTTTTATTCCGATTCAAGGCTCTGAATATTCTAATCACTCGTTGTAGTGTAAGTAAGTTGAGTCAAATCACACTTACTCTATGATAGAAAATCATAGGAGTAATGCTTAACGCATAAAACCCGAGGTTGGACGACAAAGTGATCAAGGAGCATAGCCCTGAAGTTGGGATTAAAACTGCAAATCCAAAACAGTTGAGAGGTGTGGTTTTTACTTTAATATACATATGTACAATAATGTACTTCATCAAAAGATGCCTTTTAAAATAAAAAGTTCGATTCAGACTCTTAATTTTTTTTCCCCTATCGCAAAATCTAGCCGACTAAAAATTTGGTTCTTGCCTGGAGATGAGAGGAAATATTAAGTGCCAGTGCTAGCCAAATAAAAAAATCATAACTTTTGAGAAAACCGTCGCTTTAGACTTGAGACTGCACACGAGACAACTCAGTTATGAAAATTAGAAACTGATTTAAAGAAGAATTTGCATAATCAGTTCAACCAAAACTCGGAAAAATTTATTTTGTACAAATGTACTTTCACCAATAGTTTTTGTTGCTTGCTGTGTTGCTATTGTAAGTAACTTTGTTTTCAACTTGAGTATCCATAATGAAAACAGGAAAATTTAACTCTATCTAAGTTTCATGAGTACCTTCTTCCAAAAAAATGGTAAGTTCTAAGTTCTGGAAGGGAAGGGATTGATTTTGAATTGCTCTACCTGTATAATTCCTCTCCCTTAAGAAATCTATTTTTCTTTTAAATATTGGTTTTGTTCTGTTTCCAGCACCCCAATGAAATGGCACCACGCCGTGGTAGAGGTAGCAGAGGCACAGGACATAACTACCGAGGTGGCCAGCCTTCTCAGATGGGAGGATCACCGCCTCAGCGTCGTCCTGCCCCTGGCCGTGGCGGATTTGGAAACCAAATGCGTAGACCATACGGGGGTCGGAAATAAGTAAAATGAAGTAGAAATCTATAACTTTTATGTTTGTTGATGTTTTGAAACTGTTCATATCCTTGGACACATTTTGAATTATTTTATAGTTTAATGTCTATTTTTTTATGGTTTCGTAAGCTGTATAACACAATTTTTTAGTCAAAAATCTTACTTTTATATTACCATTGAAGCATCCTGCACTTACTCACCATGGAAGAAGATTGCACAGAAGGTAGTCAATCAGAATTATTTTACACGTCACCATGGAAAGTGTTCAAAGTTTTCCCATTTGCCATGCTGAAGGAAGTTGACCACATTCTGTTTTGTGAGCTTACTGTATCTGTAAATTACATGAAACATGAAACACATTTTTTTGTTCTCTAAATGGAAAAACAGTCCATTGATCTTACTCAATTGGAAATTGATCATCGTAATTATGATTATCTTGACTCGAAATATTGATTATCAAAACTTTTCAACGATTAACTTTCTCCATTTGTTTGCTTTGTGCAATGATCTGCCAACAAATGCAATTTTGGAATTATCAAATTTTTTCTTCTTTTCTTTCCCCCCTTCAAGCCATCATCTTTATTTTATTTCAATCTTATGTATTGATCTGTAGTCAAAAAACAATGACCGAAAAATAACCCAAAAAACTTAGAGTTTTAGCATCCATCCTCAACTGTATATACCTAGTCTTACAATTTGCCAACTCTACCGTATTTGGTCTTCTCTCAAGGAAAATATCACAAGCGCCATTTTTACCAAAATTGAGTTTGTTTTTCCATACAAAATTTATAGTTTGTCAGATAAAAATCATTAAGTATGTAGGTATGTACTTGAAAAAACGGTCATCATCGTTAAAAACAGTATTTTTTCCCACAAAAATTTTTTTCAGGCATTGCTTTCATTTTAATTCTTGACTTCTCACTTGTACTTTATTTGATTTAGAATCATGAGGAATTTTTATTTTTTAATTGGTTCATACGACTTTAAGTTTACTTTTGTTGCACATATTATGCTGAACTTTTTCTCAAATATTTCTTCAAATATTGTCTCTTCTATAGTTTTTATGTTTTCACTCTATTTTATTGTTCCTCGAGCCATACAACACCTGAACTGTGTTTGTAATTTGTCACATTTCATGTTTCCTGGATTTGCAGTCCTTTTAATCGCTATATGTTTGACCTTATTTGAAATTCTACATTGATGGATGTGCTATTTGATCCACCTTAAAACAATAAAATCAAGTGTAATCATGTTTTGATCTTTTGTAAATAATAATAATAAAAAAAGAAAACCTGAAGTGAATTTGATTTGATTTATCATTAATCTCAACCTAGTTTAATGCTCTGAATTTACATACGAAATTGGCATTTTAAAGATCAGTGCATGTACATCTGAATCTGCCATCTTTTTTCAATACTCTCAAATGCCTCCAAAAGTTAAGGTGATTCCATGTGATAAAGTGACAAGATTCGCCACCAAGATGGGCTGTCTTGCGATTTGCATCTATGAGAAGCAAAATTGTCGTTACGTACAAGTTAATGCAAGAAAATGATCCACAACACGTAGCAGCATTAATACAGCATTAATGACATTAGATTTGTGTAAATTCACCGAAAATGTATACTAAAAACTACGATAACGGACATCGCCTATTGACTCAATGTGTAAAAGAGAGATAGCGATATAATAACTCCTCTTACATATTGACTGAGTCAATGGGCGACGTCCATTATCGTAGTTTCAAACATAAATTTTCAATGAATCTTCACAAATTTGATGTCACTCTACTCAGTGTTAATGTTGCAACACGTTATGGATCTGTTCCTTGCATTATCTTGTACATTACGATAATGATTGCTTCTCAGATGCAAAAGCGCAACGTGGTGGCAGAACTCGTCCCTAGATCACATAGAATCACCTTAAAAAAGACTGATAAACTTTAATCAAATTACTTTTGCTCTGATAATTTCATTTAGTCTCTGACTGCCTTCGGCTTGTACAGATCCAGCTGTAGTCAAGTTTATAATAATATTTCTCCAAACTCTCCGTCATTGCACAGAAAGTTAGATGAGTCGGTTGAGTAAACATTTTGTCTGCCTCCCATTCAGGGCTTTTAATTTTTCATAATCTATTAATTTCTCTTAGTGTCTAGCATTATTTAGTATTCAGAGATCAAAATTATCTGTGTCAAAAATAAGCTTAAAGTCCAAAGATAGTGTGCAACGGATAGTTTGCGCTGTCAAGTAAGAAATTAAATGACATTCTGAAGGGTCTGTTCAGAATCATTTTCACCATCTAGTTTTTTTGGAAGGGGGATTCAAGACTAGCGTTGCATAGTTTTTTAGGGGTCAGAGGGAGATCCTGCACAGAATCATGAAGACGGAGCACGATGTGATCGGCCTGTAAGGGGGGGGGGGGGGAAA